GCCTAACATACTGGAGAAAGAGGTCCACATGCCTTGCTGGTGGCACCATAAATTAAATGAGTCTCTCTGCAGAGCAATAAAATAATCTATTATAAAAGCATAAAACTGTCTGTTCTTGCCCATTGCCTTCTGGGGTCTGCTTAGGGATCTACCCAAATAAAATAACCAAAACCAGAGGAAAACCTTAGCTTAAAGACGATCACAGTGTTGTAAAGGAAGGTAAAATATTAGAAAACCCCACATGCCCCATAGTGTGAGACTGACTAGGCAAATGACACTTTATCTACAGGAAGGAACGCTACAAAGCCATTAAATATTTAGAAGGATATCCGTGTGTGGACTACCAACATGCACAGATTATTAAGTGAAGTGTTAAGAGAAAAAAAAGAGCAGACCTAAGAATATAGGTACACACAATCTCACCTACCCGAAGAAGTAGGCATAATTCAAAACAAGAAGAATATTTGAAATGATCCCACTCAGATTAGAATATAATTTGCTTAATAACTCTTCACCGAGCACCCACTATGGTCCAGGTGCTGTTCTGGGGGTTGTGTTCACCTGTAACACCACTGAACAAGAAGAGACAAATTTCTGCCCTCATGGTGTTTATGTCCTAAGGGGAGAGACAGATGATAAAGATAAACACACAAATAATTTAATATGCAAGACAACATATACGTAAATGTCACATGCACAAGTATAAGTCACATGCAGTGAGTGCACACATCTCCAGTGAACAATTCAATGGGATTTTCCATACGTCTACTCTAATGGAATCCCCACCCAGACAAGGAGAGAACAGTTCCTGCACTTCACAAGGCCCCTTCAATGAGCAACCCCACACACAAGGCCACCAGTCAGCTGACCTCTGTCACCTTGGATTCCTTTTGCTTGTTGACTTTCATGTAAATGGAATGATAGAGTATGTACTTTTTCAGTCTGCGTCCTTTTGGTCAACATCGTGTCTGTGCGAATCATCCGTGCTGTTGTGTGTGGCAGTGGCACATTCATTTTCATTGTGGTATATTCATTGTAGTATGTATTCCATCATATGAATAATAGAGTTATATTAATACACCACAGTTTATCTGTCCATTCTCCCACTGATACACATTTGGATTGTTGCCAATTATTGGCTATTTCAAATAATGCTGCATTGAACATTATTGTGCATGTTCTTGAAGATATAAGCACTCCTCCCTGTTGGTTTGTAACGTGGAGTGGAATTCCAGGGCCATAGACTAGATGTAAGTTTAGTTCTAGTAGATATCGCTGGTATTTCAAAGTGGTTGTCCCACCAGCAATGAGTGACAGTGCATTAATCCACAAATTCAAGAACAATGGTCAGTACTTTTAATTTTAGCCTATGTGGGTACGTAAGGGGACCTAACTGTATTTATAATTTCCCCAATATCTAATGATGTTGAGGACCTTTTCATGTGCTTATTGGCCACCTGGATACTCTCTTAGGTAATGACTGCTCAAGGCTTGGCCCTTTTTCATTGGGTTGTATTTTTGGATAAGATAAGAGTGCTGTATTGATTTCATTATTTTCTCCCACCTGAGCTTTGCCTGAATACCAGATCCACAAAACCAGCAACTATTTATGGCAGCATGGTTTGGGAACTCTGCAGTGTGATTTAAAATTATTTCCAGAAGATGCAATGCAGATGGAGGAATGGTGACTGGTGATGAGGTGGAGGAAAACTAAGCTTAGAATGCTTCTGGAAGGGTGTGAAGTGGGAAAACATCAGCCCTTAGAACCCCAAGTAAACTTTTGACTTTGATACCTCAGAATGGAGAGAAGAACCTAAAAGCTTCTTAAGTTTAAAAAAAGGCCATCTATAAAAGGATCAAGTAAGACTGGCATCACCCTTCTCATCAGCTATGCTGAATTCTAGAAGCTGTCAGTAATTCCGTCAGAGGTCTCAGGGTCTTCATCTTAGAATTCTATACCCAACCAAGTACTAGTTCAGTGTACACTAGGCAAGACATTTTCAGACATGCAGGGACTAAAGACTTATCTCCCGGGTACCTGGGAAAATGAGGGAGTAAACCAAGAAACAAGGTCCCAATGACAGCTGTGCAGCAAGCCTGGAGAGGGCGCCTTGAAGGCATCTGAGAAAAGAGTAGAGATAGAATACTAGAGACCTTACACATGTGATAAAGCCAGACAATGTAGAAGGGAAAAGGAATGCTGGTTCTCTCCAGTGGGGATTCCCACAACCTCCGGGCCCTACTCACTAAGACACACAGCTCTGCAGAGCCATAAGCCCTCAATAATGGAGGATGAATGAAGGACAGATCCAGGCCTCCCTTCCACAGAGAGCCCAGTGAGGCTTCCTGCCCTAAGGGTGTCAGAAATGGGAACAAGAAATCTCAGAACACCTACACCCACACAGGATCCCGTGCACCCAGTCACTATCAGCACCACAGTCAGACGCTTGAAGCCGCAGGGCCAGTGGGAGAGTTCAGGCGGCCAGGAGAGAATAAGACAAGACACAGCAGGTGTGATTAAGGCTTTACTGGGCATCAGGCAGGGCTGGGCAGGGACCACATGGGCAGATCAAGGCCTGCACACCAGCCAATACTGGTCTTCAGGACAGTGCTGGGAGCTCAGGGCTGAGCTGTACAGGCCACAGGTCTGCTTGGGGACCTCAAAGCAGAGCAACCACTGAAGGGAAGGACAGTCTGATTGACTCGGTGCAAGAAGGATAATGTTGGAGGGATTCTGCTGAAGAAAAGTAGGGAGCTGAAGCTTTAAAGGCCGTGGATGAATGGGGATGGGGGAAGGAAAGGGGCTAAATAAGGACTGAGTGAGGGAAGAAGGGAAAGAAAAGAAAGAGAAAAGCACAAGACAGCGATCCTGGAGGTGCAGGGAGATCCACCTGTTCTCCAGGCCCCTGCTCAGCAATCACAGCACTGGCTCCTCGCTCCATCTCCTGGCCATACAGGGCTCTACTTGTTGCCCCACAGGGCAATCTTTGTATATATAGGACTGGGGAGGAAGCGGCTGGTCTTCATGTAGGCAGAGATCTTTTTCAGGCCCTGAGGGTGGGAAAAAGAAGGTCAGATCTCAGTGTTTGCTGGCTCACTGGGGCTCAGGCAGCGCCACTCCAGGCAGAACAAATTCAGGACCCTGGTACAGCACGTCCTCATGGGGTCAAGTGTTGGGGCAGAAGACAGTCTTAATGGGGTCCCCAGCTCTGGTTAAGTTAACTCTTACAATTTCCCATACATAATGTGATCTCTTAATAAGAGTTACCACAGATGAATACTCTACACTGTGCGAGGTGCTGGATATACACTAGGGATATGAGACAGGTATAGAACTTCCAGACAACTACCTTACAAGATAGGTTCTACTCTCACCATTTATCACAAGGGAAACTGAGGCACACACAGGTTAAGCATCTTCCTCATGCTCACACAGCCAGTAAGTGGGAGGGCTGGAATGCAGCCTGACTCTCTCTCCAGTTCAGTGCTCTTTCTGCTGCACTCCCCTCCTCTCGTCCCCACAGGAGGCCTTGTCCTCCCTGTCTGCACAAACATTCCCCTTTACAGAGGCAGGCGCCTGGCTTCCCAGGGTTGGCCCACAGAGGGACCCCTAGCAGAACAAAGGGGCTCCGAATGCGCCTGTGCAGCTTGTAGAAGAGGCCACATCTCACCCAATGACTCAGCAAAACCTCAATGAAACATGATGGGAGGATGTGGAGCAGCAAAGCCAGGACCAGACTCTAATTATTCCTCTTAAAGGAGAATGTCCATTTGCTTGGCCTGTTATTGGGCCCCAATCACTGGGCCCCAACCTACCTCATCCCCAGTCCTGCTGCAGCCAACTAGGCAGTATGACCTGCAGGTGTGTTTGGGCACCATCTTCCCGCATAGAGAGTGTACAGTAAGTTCTCAAGGATTCAAAAATGTTGGGACTGCCTGTAACAAATGGCCAGGCCCCAACAAGGTGCAGGCTGCAGCCCCAGCTGTCCTCCATCCCTCTCTGCCAGTCAGTCATCCCAGCTCTTGCATAATCCCCAAGGCCCATCAGCCTGGACCAGAACCAGAGCTGATGACAACTAGCTGACAAAGCAGATTTCCTGAAGGGGAGTGGGAAAGGAAAACAGACTGTAGGCTGAAAAACCTGTTGCTCTAATGCCTCAAATTCCTCCATCTGTAATAAAGCAGACTTTGTTGCTCTCCAACTAAGGGTGACTGATGAGGAACTGTGAGTGAGGTCCCGGCTGTGCTCCTCCAGCAGCCAGCTGGGCCTACACGCTCCACACAGCCTGGTTCCTGTAGCTCTCCAACTGCACTGAGCCCCAGGAGGCTGGGCTCCAGGGCTGCCTCACCTTTGCATCCCCACTGTGCCTGACACAGCGCCTCATGCACAGGAGAAGATCAGATCAGTGAATGGGACCTAAAATAAATGTACTGCCCATCGCTGAGACAGAATCTTCAGTAACTGAAGGAAGAAAGAAAGGGAGACAGGAAGGAAAGTCCCCCAAACAGAAGATGTCTTTGGGACTTAATATCAATCTCTCTGTGACTCAAATCTACTAATGCCGACTACTTACGAACTCCTGAACATTCTCCTTCATCCACACAGCCCAGAGCTGTGAAACAAAGGCTGGAGAGGGAGAAGGAACAGAGCTTTTCCTCTCGAAACAGGAAAGGGAGAGCCACTGATGACTGCGCATAGCAACCAGACACTGCCAGGGAGCCCAGCACAGCCTGTCCTGGCTCTGGGACTTTGAGCAAATTACTTATCCTTTCTGCTTCATTTCCCTATCTGTAGAAAGGAGGCGATAACTCTACCGTGTAGGAATGTTGTAAAGATTAAAGTTTACCAAATATACGTAACAGGTGAGCACAGATCCTGGCATACAGCAAGTCCTCAATAAATGCTAGTTTTTCTTCATTTTAGCTACGAAAAGGAAAACATTAAGGAGAAGAGGAAGAAACAAAAGAGATATGAATAGAAGGAGGATCAGGGGAATGACCTCTAAGCGGGTGATGAAGTCCTTCAAGTTTGGGAACCCATCCAGGCACTTGGGCTCGAATATGCGGTGCAGGTCAAGGATGTCATAAGCGAGGAAATCCACATAGGTGAGCTGCAGACAGGCCAAGGATGAATGGGGACCAATCTCTGAAACTGGGAGGAAGGACAACTCCCCATCCCAAAGCGTTCCTCCTTACCTTGTCCCCAGCAAACCAAGGCCTCTTCCCCAGAAACTGTGAGAAGAGCTTCATTGTTTCTGGAAGCACCTCCAAGTACTCAGGCTTCAGTTTCTCCTGAGGCACAAAACAGCTGTCACCACCCTCAGACACAGACTCCCTGCGCAGGGGGCCAGGGCTGCACACGACCCCCGACTGCCACAGGTGAGCAGCCATGTCCCCCAACTGCAGCTGGGTGGGTGCCCAGGCTGTGATTTAATCCAAGCTGTGTTCATTAGACTTGTACTGGGGACCAGCTCCCATCTGTGAGAGGCAATGGGAAGGCAGAGAGCAATAGCACACTGTCCCAGCAGCTATCCCCAACATCTCCAAACACCCTCACTGGGTCAGACCCAGGAGTGCTGTGGGAACCTGGCAGAGCTCAGGACTCCCGATGGGCCGAAGCAAAGACCCAAAGAACTAGATCGACACAGGGAAAGAGGTCCTAAGGTCTAGCTAGTGAGCAACAGAATAATAGACACTTGAGTAGATTCTGGACAAATGAGGAGAATTTGAGAGGCTGAAAGGAAGAAGGGAAAGGTACAAAGGCCCTGTGACTGACCCTGAGCTGTACTGGGCAAATGTGCTGATGACTGAGGGTGTCATGGAGACAGTGCTAGGCTAACAAGGAAACACCCTATCTAGGAACTAATTTCCACCCTGGGGAGTCTGGACTCTCTTCTGACATTGGTAGGAACTGAGTTTTCATTTGATGCAATTTGGCGTTATGAGGGTCACTCTGGTGGCAGCATAGGGATTAGCCTGGAAGATCTGCAGCTCCAAGGAATTCAAGTGGCAAATAAGACCAGTGTAGATGAGACACAAGAATCCAGTCTCCTTATCAAAATCCTGTCGGGCCCCGTCCACTGGGATGGGACTCACAAAGTCAGGGCTATAGCAGACTCTGGCCAGTTGATTGGAGGTATCCATAACCTGATTCTCCAACATATCCACACGAATCTTCTCCTCTTCTGTCTCCCCACCTACAGCCACACAACAGAGACTCATCCTCAACATGCCAAGCCCAGGGCATGGCCACCTGTCCCCTGCGCCCTACCCCCAGCCCACTCACATAGGTTGTGCTTGCGAGCAATGTAGCGAAGGATGGCGTTGCTCTGGGAGATCTTGTGAGCCCCATCAATTAAGTAGGGCAGCTGGAAGGACAACACAGCAGGTCGCTTGGGCCACCAGGCTCCCCTGCACCCCCTCCTTGAGATGGGGGCAGAGATGACACCTGGCACTCACAGTGCCTGGCCCCTGGTAGGCACTAAATAAATATATTGCAAAATGAATGAATCAACTGGAACATAGAGCATCACAGGAAGGTAGTGAAGAGAACCAGGAACCTGAGATGTTGAGCAGAAGGCACCAGGTCCTGTCTCCTTGAAGCTGGGACAGGAGATGGAGAAGAGAACCTCTCACTTGCGCCAACAGCACCCCCATCCCCTGCACCTACATTGGGGAAGTCCAGGCCCAGCTTGAATTTTTCATTCAGCCACTCGCTTCTGTCATAGTCGGGAGCTGTGGTGGAGAAGATGAGTGAAACAAACCTTCCAGAGTCCAACCCTCCTTCCCGAGTAGGGGGAACCTTCCAAGGAGTCAGCGGCAAGACCCAGACCACGGGGGATCTGAGTCTCACACTCCAGGTTTGGGGGCGAATGCTGATGGGGCTCTGGAAACTACATGAGTAAGGCTCACACAGGGTTTAGGCAACTCTAAGGGGAACCCATCCCAATTACTGAGACAGGGGGTCCAGCAATCCCCTCCCACATCCTGCCTTGGCAGGAGAGCTGCACCCTCAAACGGGGTAGGGAAGGGACCAGCCCTGCTCCAGCTGCTGGAGGGCGGCAGAGGTGAGCAACAGGTGGCCGGGCCATGGGGTGCCTGGAACCAAGTCAGCATGAGTTGGGCAGAAGTCGGGACACCACGAGGACGCCTTTACCGTCCCCCATCGTGTACTTCTTTTCCTCATAGTTTGAGTCTGTGTACTCCAGGAGCAGGCGGATGGCGTGAGCCAGCTGGGACAGAAGGCCGGGGCAGAGGTCAGAGGTGGAGGGGCCTGACTGCTGCCTTTCTCTCCAGGTAACCTCCCACGCACACCCCAGCCTCCCACACACTCTCCCACCTGAGAGGACAGGCGGCAGGATGGGGCTGGGCTCCAGCAAGCCCCGGAGGAGGAACCTTCTGCCAGAACCGGTCCCCAGCTGCGCAGCGTTTCCCCGCCCGCCCGCCTCCATCCCACTTACCCTGGAGGATCCCTCCCTCGCTCACCCCTCGGATGTCCCAGTAACCCAGCGTCATGGTCATGGTGCTGGTGTTGGCGCTCTGAATGGATGGGCCTCCGCAGAGTTAGGATTGGAATTCGTCGTTCCACCGGAGGGTGGGGCGAGGCGGGGCCAGTTGTGCGCACAGCCCCCTATGCCCCGCCCCCGTCGCGCCTCCAAAGCGTCAACGTCCGAGGCGATCCCACCCCCAACGCAGGCGGAAGTGAGATCCATTTCAGCCAGCTATCCCGGAGGGCTCTGGCGCCAGGGTTTGGTTTCCGTGACGCTGATGCCGCCTGGCTCGGGTTAGCCTGGTTCTCCCGCCCCCAGTAGACTTATGCTAAGTCTGAGGGAGTTGGCAGTGCGTTTGTAAAACAGGCCTGAACCATGAAAAGAGCGAGGCTCCTTTCCCTTCCTTCCCCTCTAGGGAAGGGGACATCTCTCAGCCTTGTCCCTTAGCTGCCGAGTTCCTGCGGGCCCTGGGAGGCTCTGACTGACTGCCTGGTTAAGGCTGAAAAGTGATGTCCCTCAAATCAAGAGTTGAAATCAGTATCTGTTAAGGGAAGATCAGGCTTCAGACCAGTGAAAGTTCCTCCCAGTCCTTATAATCCATGACAGGCACGTGTCTTTGACAACAGACTATCGGTGGGATGGGAATGACTACCCAGGACAAGGGGCAGAGAAAAGAAAATGTGGTCTGTTGTGTGTTCCTTTCAAGATTTTGGAGGACCCAGCCTTTCAATAACGTGGCTAATAATGATAAGGATCAAATGTAAATTAATCGATTAGCTTTATGGGCTAACTTGTGAATATGTATCCAGAATAAGTCCCAGCAAAGAGGTATAGAATCCTGTGCAACCCCAGAAGTGTCCTGCCAGTAAGCCTGTTGTCCCTCCCATTGACAGGGACAGTGACTGGGAATGTGGTGGTCACAGACAAAATGTAAGTGAGTGGGAAAGAGCTGTCCTCTGAGGGGCCAGGTGCCTGTCCTCTTGCAGAGGGCAGCCAGGTGGGGGTAGGGCCAGCCAGGAGGCTGGAGGACTCCCCACAGGACCACAGTCAGGGTGGGCCCTTGTCTTGACATGAGTACAGCCATGTTTGGCCGCTCCATTGACCTACAGCCACCAGTACAAAAAGAAATATGAAAGCTGCTTTCTGCGTGGTGGGAACTGGCCCTTCTCCCACGGAGAGAGTTGCAAGTTGTAACATTCCAAGGCTCTTGGAGCGTCGTACCATGGGATGGACGGGCCACCTGTGCCGGGCT